GCGCGGAGGCGGCATCACCGCGCGTCTTCCCCTCCAGCCGACTGCATCTGCACCGATTTGAACGCGACGGTGACCGCTTGGTTACGTCAAGTTTGATGCTTTTTCTTGGGTTTCGTTTTGGGTTAAGTTCTCCAGATTCTTACAGAAATCCCTTCTGGCCATTGAACACAACTCGGAAGGCAGGCTGCCCCGTTCCTCCTCTCATCTTCGTCATGGGGACAAAAGCATCCCCAGTAAACCAAAACCACTCCGGCATGATACGACCAGGGAGGCAGCGGCATCCTTCCGCTCCCGAGCATCGCTTTGTATTGCAGCAAGCCGAAAAATCTCTGCTAGTGCCTTTGACCCCGGGCTGAGCATTACGCTCTGCTTTGTAGGCGATATGTGGCAACGTTAGAGTTTATCCAAAACCAATACGGCGACTCAAAGAGGGTCCCAGCTCAGAATTGCCAACGCTAAGTACCAGCCAGGCTTTGAAATCCAAGTTCTAAATCCACTGTATAAAAGATAAAGTAAACAAAACCAGGCTTGAGCTCGCTTAGCCAGGAGGCCAAGCCACCCCGGCACATGTCTTCCCAAAAAACACCGAAGAATTTGATTCCATCAGCTCTCCGCCGTCCCGGCTGACGGATGCTCTTTGGCCAGACAGGACGAGCCCATGCCTGGGGCTTCCTGGCACCACTGCTCCAAACCAGCAAACCTCACCTCTGCTTCTTGGGCGTGTAAAGGAAGATCAGCCCCTTGCACTGAACGGCGCACAAGCTTTATCCGAAGCACAGCATTAGTTTCCCAATCTTTGGGATGAAGGGTTGTAACTCGCTGTCTTCTAGCTCGGGGGCTGCTGATGCTGGAGAGCACGCGATGGAGAAAACCCCCCGCATGACCCTTCATCTCTCATCTGTACCTGGGGAATCGCTTCCCTGGGGAATTCTGCTGTTCGCTAAACTGGATCAACATAGCTGTTATGTTTAGTAACATTTCAACTGTTGCTCATTTGATTCCAGTCATTAAAATTTAATATTAGCGTAAGCTTTGAGAAACCCGAGCTGACAGCAGCGAGAGCGGAGGGGGAAGAAGTGCCCCAGCCTGAAAGCTCCTATGAGGAGCTCTCGCTGGTGGCTGTCACTTGTCCCTTGCACTGAAGAGCCTGACTTGGCCGTGTGACGCTCACAGAGACACGGCACTGAAAGATTCTTCCAACTTTTAGTACCCTTTTATACAAAAAAGGGGCTCTTCAGAGAGGCAGCAATGAAAAGACAGTCACTTGGGTTAAACTCATGCTGAAGACCAGGAGTTAAAGATGAGGTCCCTTTGCTCCGACAGCTTAACATAAGCTAAAAACATGTTATTTCTTCTGTAGCATAGCTGTATCTGAAGCGATCCATCAGGATGTCCATATAAGCACAGACTCCAAACCACAGAAATGCCTTTCAGCTGCACTTGATCTCACCATAAAGCTAGAGGATAGACTAGATGACCCTTTAAAGTCTCTTCCAGATGGGTTTCTTACAATCCTCTAACAACGTGGTGCTCCAAACCAGTCCCTATCTAGTTTTCCCCCACCCCCTGCAGGCCAGGTCCAAACATCTCTGTCCTGGCTTCTGATGGCCACGGGAGCAGGCACGGACTCAGCCCGTCGGTGTAGCCATCCCCACCGCCACACTTGCTCGCTGAACCGAAACACCTCCTGCAAACAAAGCTTCCCCCCCGAGCAAGATCCGACAGCTGCTTCCCAGCCTCCAGCCTCCAAGAAACCCGGCCAGGAGGAGCCCTTATGGCGGGAGAGGGCTCATCCCTCCCGTAGCCAGGATTCGTCCCCCTGTGATCTGGGAAAGGGGCTGGGGGGGGAGAGAGGAGGTGCACGGGTGGCAGTTCTCCAAAAGTTAAGGGTTTGTTGTAGGTTGTGGCCTTTTGGGGCAAGTCTGAGGGGTGTTTGCAGGCAGGAAAAGAAAAATGTATGGGAAGCTTCAAGTATAAGCTGCTTCAAAAGTCATCTGTTCGCGGGCTCCGTCACAGCCTTCAATATATCTTCTTTATTAAAATCTGGACACAATGAGTCCAGAAGTGCCCACCTTTGTCAGGGCTGCATTGGCAACGTGCCTGGACCCTGGGGCCACACCTCATTTGCATCTCATTTACACAGATGTTCATTAAAATTAATGCCTTAAGACATAATATCTGCCCGCATTTGAGCCTTCTGGACAGACGGACCGCGACCGCTCCTGGAGAGCCCCAGCCACCCCATCCTCCTCCCCACACTCAGCTGCATCGTCCCACGCCCCCCGGGAAGCACTGCCCGGCGGAGGAGCTGCCTCCGGTCCCCACGGACACACCGCGCGTGCACCTTGTTTGCAATCCAAGAAGGGAGACAGTTGTGATTCTGTCTTAGGCGCAGAGAAATAAAAGCCTGGTGCAACCAAAAAAAGCCCCCCGTGCTCCCCGCTTCCCCCAGACCCCAAGCCAGGCTTCTCCACCGCTCTCCCTCCTGCACGTATGGAGCACAGACAGCCCCTGCCTGTACACTGCAATGCCCTTCCACGTGCAGATCAATATCTGGGATTGCATTTCCCCTTAGAGAGAACCGTAAGACGAGGCTTTGCAAAGATCTGCTCTGCAACATTTACGATTTGTGCAAAAATGCCTGCTCTCTGGATGAAGGAGAAATGCCGCCGCGTAACCACGATTGCTCCATCCACCCTTCTTGCTTCTCCCCCATTTTATTCTCAGCCATTACACAGCAAAACCCTACCGTCACTGCTGCAACTTCCATTTTTCCACAAACAAAGACCTCAACTGCACCGTGTGGTCTTGATGGCCAACAAATAACTCCCGGTAAGGACACGTCACTCCCCAAAGCACCCTTGGCTCGTGCAGCCCAGCACATCGTTGTCTTAAAGGGTCATCCTCAAGGTCACCGAGATATAGACTATTTGCAAGTGCTACGATGGGTTAAGCTGTGCCTGCCAGCCCCGCTCGCCAGCCCGGCCAACCAAGCAATCCGCAGCGATGCTGGGTTTCATCATTGTTTCTAATGAGAGCTGCTCAGCCGGGAATAATCCCTTGCTCCGCAGGAAAGTTACACTGGTTTTAAGGACTAGAAACTCCTTTTTGGATATATTTGTTCCGAGCGACTGTGTGGTGTTTAATGATGAAGTTAAATCCTTCCCATCAATATAAGCTCAATGCAAAAGACTGCCCAACACAAGAGTTAACAGCAACATGATCAGATGAGTTTTGAGTTTGCTCCGTAAGTAACATTTCCAAGCTCTTTTTTTTTGGATAGGCAATCCCCAAAACAGAAATACCTTGTCCTGGTGAAGGTTTCACAGAGCTATTAAGTGGTGGAACGGGATCAATTAGCCATGAGATGAAAAGTAAATGACTGTAAAAACGCCTCCCCCTCCCAGCCCCCATTAACACCAGGAAACGAGCAGCCAGATGTAAATCAGCCCAATCATCAGCTACCGAGCACATCAGTAATAGAAGTTTCACAGCAAGAGAATTTCTAAGCAGTATTAATATAATTAATGTAGTGTAACAGCATGACCCAACACCATAATACTGTATAAAAAAATATCAAACACACTCCAACTCTTCCCTCTCTCAGCATTTCATGCAAGCCTTGATGGTCTCTAGCAGCTCTTTGCTGGAAACATGAACAGCCCACGGCAAAACTTTGCCTTGGTTTTATTCCCTGTGTTCCTCATCCCACAGTTTATCTGTGGCTTTATTTGTACCCAAAGACCCCAAAAATGGATTTATATCTGTCCCAGATGAAGTGAACAACAAGCAGGAATG